GCAACAAAATCTTCCTATTGAGGAAAAATAGGAGGGCATTTATATTCCACATAGAAAACATAGCTTTCTATGTCATTATTTAGAGATATATTTTTATTCCCAGTTGTGAGGTATAGCTACAATTGAACCAAACTGCTTTTGTATCCGAAGCTGACAGAGAATTCTTCCATATTACAAAAGACTTATTCATACCAGTCTTGGCTTTAAAGTCTTGGCTTTAAAGAAGCCGACTTTCTTTTAAGTACAATGCAAAATAAGATACATTATTTATGAGATTCAAGAACTGTCTTATCCTGCAATGAATCAGCTAGGAAATCTGCTTGTTGTATTTCACCGATTGACTATGAAGTTTAATTTCTCTTTTAAAATGGGAAGGTTTGCCTACTTCATTGTTAATTTAATAAGATCATTTGAGTTTCCAAATGAATGATGGGGCTTCAGATATCATCACTGCACAAATGTCTGCAAATACCGAGGATTTTTTTTTCTAAGCCTGCAGCACACGAAGAACAACTGTGAAATAATACAAAACTCTTTTCGAAAATAAGTTCAGATGATGATGCTAGGGTCTGATGCAATTCTACAGGTGCTGCCTTCTAAACTATAGAGAACAAGATCGAAAATGCAATGAAAAGAGTGTACAGGATGTTTGTGCAGATTCCTATATTCTCATGAATTAATTGGCCCCACATTCTTGTGACTAACAGAAATGCTAGTAAACAGAAGTCTCAGCTGGCTAAATTTTCTCTTAAAAAACAGCAAATGCTAAAAGAGACCGAAAGAAATTTCTACGGTGCAGCAACTGATTTGCTTTGTAATTTGCAGAGAAAAAGAGGTTGAGAACAAAGGATTCAAGTTTTTCTCCATTCCATGCTATTCATAAAGTTATGAACATGATGCCACTTTAATTTTCATTTTTAATTTAATATATAGTTTCCTCATACCACCTAAATTAACAGTTCTTGGTTCCCTCCCTGCTAGTTTGCATAGTCATTTGTTAAGTAACTTTGGCAAATAAACAATATTTTATAAATAATGTTTTAAAATGTTACCCTGTTTATATCCAAACTTAGCACAGCTGGTTTACTGTATACTGCAAGGACAGTAGAGCTACAAAATGGCTACTACCTGATTTATTCTCTTCTCTGCCTAACTCATCACATTTTCTTGGCAAAAAATTGTAAGTACAAAATATAGGCCATCCTTTTACTTACCATTTGCGGTCATTGTACATTCTGTTAATTCGGTCCCATTCTGCATTAAGCTGCGTTAGTGAATCTTCTATCTGAACAGCTTCAGGTCCAGATGCTTCTAGTATAACATCAGGTTGCTTTTCATGAATAACTGCAATCTGATCTTCTAATTTATCCAACATATCTTTTATGCTCTGTAATACAGTAAAACAAAAATACCAGGCAGAATTAGCATCCCCTCAAAGATAACTGCCAGCTGGAAAAATAGAGCATCAGTGTATGTGTGTGTGTGTATATATATATATATATATAATATAGATATATAGATTTTTTTTTAAATTTGGATTGCTAACAAAGAATTAAGGGAGAATGGGATAGCTATTTTGAACTTTTTAGCTCTCATCAGCCAAACATACTCTTCTGAGATTCGAACCTGGGCTGTTGAAGCCATTCATTACAGCTCAACAATATAAGCAAACTAGACATTAAGGCTTGCTCAAGAAACAAAACCATGACGATCTTAGTGACTTTGGAAGCCAAACCATGTCTCCCAGATTAGGGAGTAGATAATATAATATGTATCTAATATTAAGTACATAATGCATGATTATTTGTTTTCTATTTTATTATTGTAAGCCACCCAGAATAGCCCCACGGTGAGATGGGCAGTAAATAAATTTAACAAATAAATAAGAAATAAAGAATGAACTGGAAAAATCCATTTTAGGTGCAATCTCAGCCTTATAGGATGTGAGCCCTTATAAGTATGTGTATGCCTATAATTGTTTGTGTGAATTTTGTTTGATCTGGCCCAATGCAACTTTCTAATAACTTAATTCACAATGGTCTTTATCTAATTTCTTCCCATTCCTTTTCAAACTTTTACACTGCTGACCAATGGTTAGTTTATTAAATGAATTATTTATATTTCCTGAATCTAACAAGGGATAGGATTGGTGATGATTCTAGAAAATTTAGACACAGGTTCTTATAAATCAAGACATACCCAAGACCGAACCTGTTTTTTAAAGTCAGAAAGTATCTTGAGATGTAATGTCATGCACCAGAGTTAAAACATTTATTGAGAAGAACGTTAATGCTCTTTTATGTTTTGAGTTCTAATATTAGATTTCAGGTTCTTGTACCTTTAATGAATCTTCTTGAGTAGAAAAGTCTTCATAAATTGCTGAATGAAGTTCTGGAGCATTTAGCAAGAGCTCAGCATCAGCTATAACCAGCAAAATCTTGTTAATTTCAACCAGGTATTCTGCGGGGAATGGAGATTCCCTGGTCATTGATGACTGAGACCCTTGAATCCTCTGTGGAGTTCCCTAAAGCAAAATAAGCTTCAGTTAACTATTTATTTAAAACTAACCTCATTATAAAAATACAAGAAGGGTTCATTTATTTGCATTTCCATTATATTCTAATCTTAAGATTTAATGCTATTTTTAATTAAATAATTCTTCAGACAATGCTACATTATAATTACAAGGAAGTGTTTCCACTGTGACTAAATCAGGTGTTCCCATGAATTAATTCCTCTTATCCTTTTGCTTAGCTTTTAAATATATGCCATATAAATTACAATATAGTAAAACAATATTCTAATCAAACAGTGATATCCTTTTTTAATTAAGTAGTTCCAGTTGCATTAAAAAAAGGAAAGGATTATTATCTCTGTCTACGCACACTTGGTTCTCCTGAAATGTATATATCCATTTTCCAATAATTTTTAGTTAATACAAAAATAACTATACACTTCAGCATCTATTGCAACATTACTTACACCCAGAGGTTTATTTCTTTAATCAGGTATCTGGACCACAATTTCCAGTTCACAAAGTGGCTTTTCAGAATAGTACAATTGTCGTAGAACAAGGACCTACTGGTATATTTTCACTTGTAACTCCACCCATAGTATATGAACCAACTATTCACTGCATATTTATGAGAAAGATAACCTCATCATCAAGCCTATTATTACTTTACATTTGGAAATATTACTTCTGAAATCAGTGGATTTGCTAACGTTATATAGTCTAATAAATTGAGATTAAAAAAATTAAGCTAAATATATTTCACAAATGTTCTCAACAGTATCAAATAAAGATGTCCATTCTTATTTACATAAATACGTAACAATATGACTGCATAAGGAAAATCAAAACAACATGCACCAAATGCCTTTTGAGTATGTTTTACATTTTATTTTATTAAAATATTACATTTTCATAATGAAACTCATTGATCGATATACTTTTCGTATGCATTGTTCAAAGTTTGCAAGTGATTCCAAATATCAATCCTGCCTCTGTCTGAAAGCATCTAGCAAATGTAG